GTTGTTTGTACTTAATTTAAACTCAGTGTTAAGAAAGTTATGTTGTACAATAATTTAAAAAGAACAGATTTTCCAACAAATGCACAGCCCTAGCCCTAGCCCCTATCTATATAAAATTCAATTAAATCTTCAATATATTTTATTTGCAGARTTACCTGCAAGGAGATCACTATAAGCCCGTCACGGCTTTGCTTCCTCTAAAATTACTTTAGCCCCCTTAATATTTTTTAGTGATTTGCACTTCTGTGTTTTTGACTACAACTTCCTTTAGTCACGACCTACAAAAAGTATACAGCAGCTGCAGCTGCATCGTTGTAATTGTCGATTGTCGTGGTAATATTTTAATAATAATATGGTCTATAATTGTTATGGGTATGGCACCATTGGCAGTGGTTCTAAACAATCTAAACCAATGTCCCGCGGCACACGGAATATATTCTGTTAGTGACGCTATATTATTATCATTATTATATTATTATAGTCACTAATCAGTAATTTATTTTCCATGCATTTTAAATATTTTCATGACAATATAGAAATTCTTTTTTTAGCGTAAGCTGTTGTAGCCGTGTAGCGACGTACTAGCCGTGCCCCACATCAAACATCCGAGTGGACTGCCCGCGAACGATAAAAGGTTGAGAACCACTACTCTACGGAACTGTATTAAATGGTATAGCGTAAAGCCGTAAACGTGCGCGCGCGTTCGTGTGTGTGTGTGCAACTTCTGTARTTGCTGTTACCATATAGTTTGTATTTTGTAACGACTGTACTGTACGCGATATTTCGGTTTCGGTGTACACAACTGTTTTTTGCGTCTGGTGTCGCGGTTGATACTTTGATAGCGTTGTGGTTCGTAGCAGTTATTCTATCATTTCATATTCGCCGTGAACTCGTGACGTCGTCTCTCTCGTTACTATAATATTGTAGACAATAATACAATAATATATAGTCGTTACGTTACGATACGTTAGTGCCTACTACCTAGTGAATTCCCCCACCCTCTCCCGTACTGTTTTACCGGCAGACGACCGCCGCCGCCGCGTCCCGTAACGACTGCAGAGACTGCCGGCCATAGTGTTTCGCCCATTGACGTCCGCTCCAGAATTTTTCATCCGTTTCCATCCGGACCGGACGCTGCGTAAGTACTCGGCCCACCCCAATTACCAAGCACCCGTCCGACCGTCCACCGGTAAGGTGGCCGACTTTGGCGGTTCCCGCGATGACCGGTGACGGCGGCCATTTGCAGCTTTTGATCCGTCCGGTGGGACGCCGCGGTACGGTTCCGCGAACCTTTCCCCCGGCGCCCCACCCCCCGCACATTTCGCGACGACGGTTGAACTTGTTTTCGAAAGTCCCGTATTTTTGGCTTTTGGGCTCTCGCGATCCGTGGACCGCACACACCACACGATCTTCCGCCGTCGTTACGCCCCGTAGGTAGGTGTTAGCCCATCGGACGTCGTTCGGTCCTGGTATTGCCGTTTGATCGGACAAATTTTATTCCGAAGTTTGTGTGGTTTCATTTTTTCTTTCGTTTCCGATAAATGCGTCGAGACCATAACGACGACTTGATCAATATCGTGTGTTCGCCGCCGTTTGGTTAATTGGGTAATTCATGCACATTTATAAATGAAAACCRAGTTTACTGGTGTCAGTTGCTTACCCATTTGATAACTATTAATATTGTGTGTTAAAATTTAAGTTTTTCCTCGTCAGTAGGTACCTACCCAAGTTGGTTGTCTTTTAAAGTTTAAAACAATATTGTTGACGATTGCTTACTTGATTTTGTATTTTTTTTTCTTTTTTAACTTCTATCAAGCATAATACTTATCATTGTTCTTTTTTTTTTAGCCACTCAACCATGGCAGACTTAGATGACCAATTGTTGGAAGGCGGCATTGATTTATCGTCTGAAGAACATAACACACAAATTAGTATAGAAAATAGCATGTCTTTTGATCTAATCGAAAACGGTCAATCGAATAATGCTGATTCTCAAGCATCAGCAGATTCTGTAAGTTTTGATTTTGTTCATAATGCTTTTCATGCGTACTTGAACCGTATTCTAATATAAAATTGTATGTTTAGGACTTAGAAGTAATTAGAGCCCGGGTAAGAGAAATGGAAGAAGAAGCTGAAAAGTTAAAAAAATTGCAGTCGCAAGTAGATCAAGAAATGTCAAATACGCCAGTACTATCTTCTCCAAATTGCTCAAAAACTAGTATGTTTAATTTTAACTAGCCCCCTCCCCCCTTACAGAAAAGACAATTTTGTAGTAAAATAAGCAGTTTCTGTGGTTATTGTTTAATAACAAACAATTTTTCTACAATTTAAATATTAATCGGTCAATCAATAACTTTCTCTACTTGATTTCCTATAATATTGTATTTCACATTAAATCTTAAACTTTCTTTAGGTATTCAGACATGTAATAAATGTTAAATCTGACTGGTCGTTTATTAACTGTTATACCCAATTCTTTAATATTAGTGTAAACCTTTGTTATGTTTATATTACATTTCCTAAAATGTTATCCTCAAAAAGCTCTGCACTATTGCTTATTAGCTGTTTTGCTTTTTAATTTTGAGGTACAAAACTGAGCAGATCTCCACATGTGTTTACAAATAATACATTTTATTAGCACTTACTAAATCTGCACAACAACTAA